ATAGGTGGATAGATAGACTGACAGATAAATATTCATTTCAAATTTGCAAATTATCATTAACATTTATAGGGAAGAATCAGAGAAGCTACACAAGGAAGTAAAACATAACTCTCTAAAATATGTACATAGAGGTACTAGGTATTCTTGGGGAACCCTTGATGTAAATGCCTTAGACCACAAAAAAATTTATTTTGAAGTTTTCAAGTGGCTCTAGAAAGCTATATTAAATATTATGGCTAGTTACCATAGCTGAAGTCATCAGTTCTCAGTGAGGTAATGGATTGCAACACCATAACCACTCACACGACAAACTCTCGACACTGCCAAGGGAACACAGTCTGTTCCAGGGGTCATCGCTGCACAACAATCTGCTCTCATCCTATTCCTGCAATTATTAATGTCACCACTGGCAACAAATATTATATATTGTTTACTTAAACACTCTATGGTAAAGTTATTGTTACAATGCAATATCAAATTGCTTGACACTTAAGGAAGAGAGATCAGAATTGAAGTCTGTCAATATAACAAAACATAGAAGCAATTAGTACCATTTGTTCCATGGTTTGTTGATTCTGTTAGTAAAAACCCCAAAGACTCAGGGGGAAGAGATGGACTTCAGTTTTCTTTGGTCAAGAAGCAGTTGATTCACACCGTGTTGGCTATTAACAGGAATGAATTACTGATACATACTACAACATGGATAAATCTTGAAAATATTACACTAAGTGAAAGAAGCCAGATGCAAAAAGCCATATCTTGTATGATTTCATTTCTATAAAATGTCCCGAATAGGCAAACCTATATATAGAGAAAGCAGATTTGTTGTTGCCAGGAACTGGGAAAAGGAGGTAATGGGGAGAGATTGTTAACAGGTATCGAGTTTCTTTTTGGGGTGATAAAAATGTTCTAAAATGAGACAGTGGTGATGGTTGAACAACCTCGTGAATAGACTGAAAACCACTGAATTATACTTTTAAAAAGTGAATATTAGTCATATGAATTATATCTTAACTTAAAAATAAAGTAGAAAGAACTAAATAATGCTTTATATTTCATAGATTCTAAAGCTCACTTTTTTTTCACTTTTGAAACTTCCTTGAAATTGGGTTGCATCTTATGATTATACGTTGCTATCACTATCAGCCAGGTAGCAGTCCTGACATGCGTAAAAATCTTCTGTTGACACTTTTCCTGAAGGACCAAGAAAGTGCCAGCATCTTTGTGTCTTAGTTTTCATAAAATACAGGTGATACTAACCCACCTAATATCTACTCTGTTCCAGGCACTGTTCCAAATGCTTTCTGTATTTTAACTTATTCAACCCTCACAATAGCTCCATGAGACAGATACTGTCATTATCTTTATTTTACAAAGAAACAGAAGTACAATGTGCTAGAGTGACTTGTCCAAGACCCCAGAGCTGGTACATGTGAGTCCCATACAGGTTGTTCTGGTCCAGAGTCTGTGCTCCTAACCATGAGGCTTCACTGTCTCACTCACCTGTGACATGCTCTAAGTGCAAGACAGCTATCGCCTGCAACAGTCTTCAAGATTTCCAAAGGAACAATGAAAGCTAATAATGAATCTTTCAATGGTTTAGTGATAAAAATACCATTAATTTGGAAGTGTGATTTGTTCATCCAAACATTTTTTTGGATATGTCTAAGGGATTTCACAGTCTAGCACTTCATTTGATGAGCCCAGACAAGACCTTGGCTTACAAGGTTGAGTAAAGGGAGCTGGAGCCTTGGTCCAGATCCTCCTCATTTCCCCCAGCTAACTGCAGGGCTTGACTTCCTCCTCCTATGAGGCTGGCTGGGTGAGGGGCAGGCCAGGCCAGGGAGGTGTATTTTGCTCGTGTATAAAGGGTCTGGAGCCAGAAGAAACACCACCAGAAGCCATCTCGTGAAGAAGTGCAGGATCAAACCTGAGGCAAACGTTCCACCTCCCTATTACCTGACATCCAATTTTGCTGATTAAACGCAAAGTAAATCACTGGAAGATTGAAAGGACTCCTGAAGATTCAAAAGTATACAGCATGCCAGGCTCAGGGAGAAGATGGATTGTGTCACTTCCAAGAAACTGTAAACAGAAAGAAAAGATAGCTAAGCCTTCCCTGTCCCCATTCTGCCCAGGCTCTTGCCACACCCAGCTCAGCTGAGCCCCTGGATACCAGATGCCTCTTTAGAAAGTCTGGGGAATCCTAGCCCAACCCTGACCACTTCCAACAAGCTGACCCCACAGATACCCTCAGTTCCCAGAGGCCAGAGTGAGGATAGAAACTGGCCTCAGAGCCCTCCACTGCCTTCCACATCCCTCTACAGAAGCTTCAATAGCATTTTCCAGTCATGAACAACAGTAATTCCATCTCCTCCTCAGCTTCAGAGTCTAGAAGCCAAACACAATCCTTTCAGGAAAGAAAAAAGACTGAAGCAAAGGGGACAGAAGACACGCACAAACAAGCAGGATACCAGCTCTGAATTGTTGCACAATGGAAAGAGGGGTGGGTGGGCAGAGAAGGTGCCTGGAACCACCATCCTGTAATTCATTTTTATTTCTTAAATTTTCAAACTTATAGATAAGTTGCAAAAATAAAGATAGTAGAAAGAATATCCATATACCCTCTTTACCTAGCTTCACCTTTTTTTCTTTACCCAGATTCACCACATTTTACCCATTTGCTTTATTTATATCTTATATATACATATTTTTGATACATCTTTTCTAATTGAAATATATATAAATATATATTGAAAATATAATAAACATATAAATATTATATATTAAAATATATTTCTACATATCTAAATTAGAAAAAATATTTTTTGCACCATCTGACGGTAAGTCACATGCACTATAGACTTCTACTCCTAAATACCCCCAATACATAGTCCCTAAAAATAAGGATAATTTATTATATAACCACAGGACAGTTATCAACTGTAACATATTTAACATTGATACAACAATGTAATCTACTGTCCATATTCCAGTTTCATCAGTTGACCCAATGATGTACTTTAAGCATATCTCCCCTTCCACTTCTGGATGCACAATTCGTCCACCTGTCCCTCACTGGTGATGTTAACACAGTCAAGAAGTTTTCTGATTTATCCACTGTATAATTACTGTATACTTTTTCTCCCCCACAACTAATGAGCAGTTGGTAGAGAAACAGTTTAAGACTGTGCAAATACCCTCTCCCTCCTTATCAAAATGTCTCCCTAGCTTTCCTGACTTTCCAGTGAGCTAAATGAGTGTCGTTAGTGACACCTGTGGGGCTGCTAGCACACTGCAACAAGGAGAATGGGCTGTGGACCCTCTCACTCCTGCCTCTTGTCTGGTGCACAGGAGCTATTTCACCTTTAGACATTTTGAAAGAAAAGCCTTTTGAGACTTGAATCACAAGGCATGAGTTCTAGTTCTGATATTACCACCAACTCATGAGGAAACTGGGACAAGTTCTTCCCCTTCTCAAGACACCAGAGTCTCCAGTAAAATGGGAGGTTGGATGACAAAGACCTGATTTCATTCATTCATTCAACAAATAATTGTTGAGCAAATACCTGCACTGTTTTAGGGTCTGCACAAGATTTCTGTCCTCAAAGAGCTTATACCATATGAGAGGTGACCCAGACAATGAGCAAGAAAACAAATTAAAGAAAAGGATAAACACACAGTGTGGCAAGTGCTATGCTGACAATTAAACAGGATTGTGAGAGAGAGTCCAATTTAGACTGAGTAGTTGGGAAAAGCTCTCTGAAGAGGGGTTTTGGCTAAGACATAAAGGATGATATTTGAGATATACCATGATAAAAGTTTAAAAATACATATAAAAAAGTAGCATAACATTTTAACACAAAGTTTGGAGAAGAGACAGAAAAATTACCAGTTATGCTACCACCCTAATATATTTTAGGGTGGTAACATTTTAGTATATTTGTATTCACTTCTGTCTTGCTTTTTTCAAGTTAGCATCATCTCATAAGTATTCTCCTTTTTGCTATTCTAGATGCAAACATTGCTCACCTCACATTCCATTTGTTAAAATTATTTGACCTTTTCCCCCTCAAGGAAAGTGCGATGAACACCTACATCTCCTTCATTTAATAAACTGGTAGATTTACCAGTTGTTAACTTTTGGCCACATTTGCTTTACTTCTCTCTAATAATGTAACATGCAGTTTTTCTGAACCCCTGAGAGTGAGTTGCAGGCATCATGACCCTTCATCCCTGAACACTTCAGCATATACCACCTAAAAACAAGGCCTTTTTCCTCTGTAACCACTATTCAAAGTATCACTCTCAGCAAGTTTAATATTAATACAAGATATCAGCACATATTAAAATTTCCCCACTTATCCCAATAAGGTCTTTTCAGCAGGGTTCGTTTGTTTTTTGATCGAGTATCCAATCAAGGACTAGGCATTTTATTTAGTTGCTCTTTTCATATTATACACTTTAAGCTTCTTAGGCAGGAAGTTTTATCCTAAAGTTAACTGACAGAATTTCAGTTCTCAGTCTTGAAAATGTAGGCATCTCTGCTACTGAAAATCAGCCCAGTCTATGCCACTAAAGACTGGATCATCTTACCCTCCTGTCCAGTGTGGTGACTGTATGAAAATGTACAATAACAGAAAATAGAGCAGGATCGTTCAATGAACCATGGAAATGTTTTCCATACAAAAACATTTTTTCAGAGGCTTGTGCTTCTGAGGGTGTTGTTATGATCTATAAAATGTAACTGAATCTGCAAATGTGTTCAGTGGTCTTAATAATTTATTCCTTTCCTGATAATTTAAGCTATTATCTCTGCTTTCTGAAATAACTGAGAGGTCTCTCAAGTCAGAAGTAGTCTGGAACTTTCTTCTGCTTTTATGCATCTTCTGGCTCTGTTGGATTTCTGATTCAAACAAAGACTCTGAGAGTCTTTGTCTCAGTTAAAGTATGCCCAAATATTTTAAATTACGTTATATTAATTGTTTAACCATCTTCTATAGGTTTTTATTTATTGCTTTTGCTTTGTTTGGGGGGAGGTAATTAGGTACTTATTTCAATGGAGGTACTGGGGATTGAACCCAGGACCTCATGCATGCTAAGCTCACACCCTACCACTGAGCTATACCCTGCCCCTCTTCTAAAGGCTTTTCATTGTTTCCAATAGTCTACTATTGCAAATCTTGATCACACCTAAAAAATAACATAAAACAACATAAAGTAAAAATAACATTAAAAATAATAAGTTCTTAGTATCATCAAATATCTTGTAAATGTTCACCTTTTCCCAATCATCTCATAATAGTTTTAGTTTCTTTAAACCAGGATGCAAATAAGTTCCATACTTTACAGTTGGTTTATATGCTTTTTGAAGTCTCTTTAATCTGTAGGTTTCCCCTCCATCTCACTTTTTTTTTCCTTGCAATATATTTGTTGAAGGAACCAGGTCATTTGCCTCTATGGTTGCTCACAGATTGGATTGTATCCTTGTGGTGTCATTTCATGTGTTCCTCTGTTCTTTGCACTTCCTCTCAATTGGGAGCTCCATTTGTAAGTTGGTAGTTAGATCTAGAGAGTTGATTAGATTTAGATTCTATTTGTTTGGAAACACCTCATAGATGATACTGTGTATCAGGACACATGTAATGTCTGAATGTCTCTCTTTTTGTGATATGGATAACCATGGATGGTCACTGCCTAGATTCAGTAATTCGGGGAGGGTTGAAAATGGTGATATTCCAATCTATCAACCCTTCAATTATTAGCTGGAATACTTCTGAAAGAGACACTTCCCCTTGCAAACAAAGAAGAACAAAGAGCATTGCTTACCACCCAGTTTGGCAAGGATTAAGTGGTTAGCCACAGCAGTCACTGACCAACATGCACCCTGAGAGGGATCTAGGATGAAAAGCAGGATGAGGCACTCTGTACTTTGGAAAACCAGGCCCTAGATAGGTAGATGTGTATCTCAGGAAGAATTTTAATGAACTCAGATTCTTGTATCTCCCCATACACAGGAAAGCACTAAAATCATTAACTTGAGATATCTGTTCTTTGTGGCTAGCAATCATCTTTTATCAAGATGCATGTTTGACTGCACATATTCCCTAGCCAAAATCATGCATAAGCTGGTTTCTCTCCTACCTCTTCAGAGCAGAGGCCACCCCCTGGGCTATAGTCCCTAGTAAGTTCCCTGAACAAAACATAAACTCATAACTCTTATGTTGTGCATTTTTAAGTTGACAATCTCATCAACTATTTGGCTACCCAGAGATGCATTTCATATAGGAAAGAGAGGATGAATTCTTCATTAAATTCCTAAGTCACAGAGAACTGCCTGGGACAGCCTTTGCTCTGAAGTGACAATGTCAGTGGGACACAACATACCTGGGACTCACTGGGACAAATGGGGAGCAGAGCCCTAGACAAGACATCTGCTCCCAGCAGCACCAGGCCTTCGTCCTTAGGCCGGGGCAGGGCTGGGGCCGTCGTGGTCGTCTTTCCAGGCACAGAGAGGTCCTTATTTTCTCCCTGAATCCTGAGCTCGGCCTCAGGAGGCCTTACACCTCTGGAGGCCAGGGGTAAAGCAACTTCCAGGAAGCTTAGAATAGCCCCTCAGGCCAACAGCCAAATAAAGCTCTGTTTTTGGTAAATTAGACTATAGGCTCAGCTGCTGTAACAACAAAAAATTAGTTAAAGGGGCTTAAACATAGAAATGTGTTTCTTTCTCAGGTAACAGCCCAAAGAGGTAAGGAGGCAGCTCAAGGTAGATGGGTGACTGCTCTGTGAGACCGTCAGAAGAACCTAGCTTATTTCTACTTCCTGTTTCACCATTCTCTAGGATGTCACATTCATCCGCATGATTGACGTGCGTGACTAGCAGCTTATCTGTGCTGTCTGGAGGAAAGGTAAAGACAGAGGAAGTGGAGGACGAGCAATTTCATTTAAATCCTGTGTCTTGGAACTTGTATACATCACTGCTTCCCATAATTGATTGGCTAGAACTTATTCATAAGAACTTATGAATCCAGCTGTAGAATAGGCAGGAGAAGGTGCAGAAGGGGACTATTATTAAAATTAAGGAGAAAATGAATACTGGCAACAATTATCAGTCTCTTCCACGGTTTGAAACTGGCCTCTAGGGACTGGTTACAGCCTCAGTCCTGAAACCATAGTGTGTGCAAGGCCTCCAGGGGCTGATGTCTGTGTGATGAGGTCCTCACACCAAAGCTCCAGGGCCCATGCATGAGGCCTCTTCCCAGAGTCCAGGCATTCTTATTCTAGGAGGCCCTACAACACACATCAAACATTAAAGTGCACCCATTGTCTATAGTAAATAGAGTTTTTACTGCAATCTCAAAATTGTTTTTATAGTTCTGCCTTTTGAATTCTTTCACTAGGAGTAATTCATTTAATTTACAATTGGCTTAGTTTTCTTAGGAATCATCTAAGTGCATGTAGAATTTTTTTGGAAATAAAAAATTAAAATTTTATTATTAAATGATATGATTTTTACATAGGAATCCAAAATAATTTACAAATGAATTATTTAAATAGGTGAATTTTGCAAAGTTGCTATATATAAGATTATATGCAAAATTTAAGTGCATTTCTGTATACTAGCATCAAACAGAAAGTAAAACTTGCCATTTGTAACAGAACCAAAAAATATCAAATATCTAGGAAGAAATCTAACAAAAATGTCTTCTACACAGATGATTATGAAGCTAAGTGTATGCAGAATTCCTTGTGATGCAAAAAAAAACCTGTAACCTATGAATTGTTTTCAAGTGCAATAAAATTTTTATGAAATTGTTATAAAATTACCAAGTCATGAGTTTCACATAATGGTCTAGTTTATAGACATTTAATCAGATATTTATTTATTTAGGTTCTGCCATTTTTAATTCTAATTTTTTTCAGGACTTATATTTTTATAGGCCCCTGCAAAGCTCCCAGGCCCTGGATACTCTGCCTGCACTGCCTAGTGGATAAAGCAGCCCACAGGCCACGAGCGCAGGAAGAGGAAGTCTGCTGCAGACCTACCTGCCAGGGCAGGGCTGGCTCTGGGGAGCGGGCTGGCTCCAGCAGCTTGCCATGGAGCCTGAGGAAAGGGACGTAGAGAGGTTCCCCTGGGACCTAGAGAAGGCCAGAACTGAACAAATTAGTAAGAACCAAACACAGCAGAAAGCTCAGAGCAGGTGTGGGAAAGGTTTTAGGAACTTGGGCTTCTCTGAAGAGTCAAGGGGTGGAGGCGGTTAGAGAAGATTTCCAGGTCTCATTGTAAACATTGGAAGTGATAGCCATCCTTCCTCGAAGTACAAACTTCCTTGGCTTCTCTGACACCACATCACCCAGTTTCCTTCCCATGTTCCTGGCTGCTGAGATAGGGAATACGCAAGGAAGAATGGTAAGAGGATGGCCAGTGTCAGGTGACGCTGAGACACCCAAGCGGAGGTGTCCACAGACCACAGGGTGTGTGGATCTGGAGCTCTGAGAGTGGGTCCATGACTATCAGATACCTCAAGATTTCTGCATAGGGTGCTTAGTTGCAAGTAAAAGATTCTGGCTAATTTAAGCAGAAAGTGAGTTTATTAAAAGATTTTTTAAAGCATCTCGCAGAATTGTTGGAAAGGCCAGAGAATGAAGCTAAGAGCTGACTGGTGTGCTACAGAAACTGTCGCTGCCATCAACCACTAGGCGCTTCAACTGGTACTGCTGTTCATGCTGCCATGGAAACCCCACCTCGCTGCAACTAGTCCTGCCACCAGAGAGGTCTCTGTAGTCCTTGCTTTGCGTTTCCTTTCTTTTCTTTCTCTTTTATTTAACAACTACCACTAGACCTGTACCCAGGCTGCAAGGGATGCTGAGAAATCAAGATTTTAATATATTTAGCTTCTATAATGAAGCGTGCATTCTGCCTCTGGACTCCTGAGGTGGGGAGTTCCCCCCAAATAAGAAAGAAGTTCAGATTCCATCTGGTCAAAATGAGTGACAAATATTCATTACAATGTCCTCAACCCCACAAATAGCTAGAAACCATTGGGCAGAGAGGAGGGTTAAGGCTAAGTAACTAGGAGATACCACCATATAGAGGATATTCCTGAAGTGTTTGGTGCCCAGAAGTGGTGGATATTCATAAGACGCTTTTTCCCCTAATCCTGCCTCAGACTTGCTGCCTGTATTTTGAAGAACAGGCTGTGTTCATGCAGTAAGAGCCGAGTTCTTCCTGAAAGAAAGGGTCCCAGTCTAACCTTCCCCACCTTGTGTTCTTAATGATGTTGGAGTCCAGAGCCGAGAAGACCATGAAGCAGGTTCGACCATCTTCACTGAAAAAACACTCCAGGACACAATTATTGGTAAAGAAAAGTGCTATGTTTTTAATTTGTTCTTGAACGTGTAGGTCTTGAATGTGATTTTAAAATCAGTGACACTTCCCCTTATAACATCCCTCCCTCATGCCCCCAACTACTTTGTCTCCAGTGGCCACTTCTAGAAAAGGCCTAGGAGAAACCCACCCTAGAGAGCCAACACAGCAGTGCAGCTTGAGGAAGGAGTGCACGGCTCCAGAAGCAGCACCAGCTACTGAAGACCTTCCTCAGAGCAGCTCAGTTTGGCCTGTGAGTCCCTTTGCCCTGCCTTGGTCAAGACTCCTTAGCTGTGTCCTACTCCAGTGCTCCCTTGTTCCTTGTGTGGCCTGAGCTTCAGAATTAGAATCACCATTACCATCTTTAGAGCTGGAGAGCCTCTGTAAGATCACTGTTTCCCCCTCCCTCCTCCTCCTCCTCACAACTTTATAGATGGGGAAACTGTACCCTAGGTCACACAGCTCGTAATTGGCAGAGCCAGAACTTACATGCTTAGCATCTCAACTCAGATACCTTTCTACCACACCTTCCTACTTCCAAGAAGACAACCAGCATCTGCCTCCAGCTCTGGGAACAACTGGAGCAAGCAGGTGGTGACGATCAGTACAGACAGGAAAGACCTGGCTAAAGGGGGCCAGGCTGACTCCAGCTGAACCCCAAGTGATGAATCACAGCATTTCCCAGGTTCCCTCCATCAGAATGTTATCAGCGACAGACACCCACCCCTGCCAGGAGTCTCCTCCTGGCTAGCAGCACTGAACCACATATGGAATTGTGCTTACCATCATCCCAAGCTCCTTACTGACTGTGGCAGGTTCTAATTAGTATAAGGATCACACTGATGAACTGCCCACCAGCCTGGTAATCCAGTTTATCAAATTTCTTCTTGGTAAGACCCAATCCACATTTTGGGGTTGATTTATATGGAGTCTCTTAGCAAACACGGCAAAAATCTGTCTCCATGCTGCACTGAGAGAGACAGAGGGAAAGAGTCACGGATACTGTCTTCCCAGCAGAAGTCATACACATGCTTGGCATCAGGAGGACTGAGTCAAAGAGAAGAAATGAACTTAAAGAAAACAGGCAGATATAGAGGGTAGGGAGCAGGAGCAGCTGTGCTTCCTCCTGCCTATGCAACTCGTGAAGAGGCAAGATCACAGAAAGCTACAGATGTGTCCTCCATCAGTATGTGAAAAGCGGTTTTCATCAGCCAAGTGAAAAGGGGTTTTCAAAGAGGAAGTGGTAGATGATGTGAAATGCTGTAGAGCGTTCAAGACAGCTGAGGACTGAAAGGTATTTGATTTGGCAACTGAGTGGTTCACTGGTGGCTTTTATGAAAAACTGTAGAGGACTGAAGAATGACTGAGAAGAATCAATGAAAAGTTGTTTTTTTGTTTTTTGTTTTTAAAGAAACTTAGCTGACAAGGAAAAAATGTAAAGGCAACAGACTCTAAGAACTTTTGTTTTAATCTTGGGGAGAAATTTGTTTGTTTGTAAGTTATGTGGAGGTAACAAATGGAGAGGGAGGTTGAAGACCCTGGAAAATGAGAGCAGTGGGAAAAACAATGGAGCAAAGTCTTGGTGGACAAAGAGCAGGACGCAAGAATTAGAGCACCAAGTAGGAGCAATGTGGGGGAGCTGAGGAGGGATACAGACACAGGTGGATGGGAGGGGGAGAGGAGCAAGTGGACAGGGAAGTTCTTGCTTTAGAGCCTCTCTTCTGTGAAGCAGGCAATGAGGTCAGTCATTCGCTGAGAGCAAAGATGAAGGGCATGGATGGAACGTAGAGTAATGAGAAGTCAAAGACATACCAATCGATACTGAGAGCCCAGCTGAGGCTGTCAACTCTGCACTGGTCATGCTTAGCAGCCCAGAAAGAGGAATCCAAAAAGGCTGATGCAGAAAATGAAGAATGGTTGGTAGTTTCAGCTAAAGTTGGAAAGGATGAGAAAGTCCAGGATGCTGACAAAAACATCAGTGTGTCATGCATGGACCATGGATTTAGGCTCAAGAGAGGAAGAAGTCCGGGAGAAGATGAAAGACTCAGAGCACAGAGAGCTAAGGTCTTGGACCTGGGCTAAAGGAGCAGGCAATTTAAAGAGACGGCAGTGGAGGAGTGTGAGAAACAGCAGCACAGGGGATGTTAATCCAGAAAGAGCAGAGTCTCAGTTTGGGAGTTCAGAAGAAGAGACTATAGGTGACAGCAATGGAGTGAGAGAGAAAATGGAGCAGAGCCCAGGAATAAACAAGAAGGGGTCGGGTTTTAGCAGCAAGGCAAAGACCATTGCCAGAAATGGGGACAGGGAGCCAGAGTCTGCCAGGGTTGATGGCAAGGCCTTCAGTGGAGCAGAGCTGACAGAGAATCTGGTGGCTGCCACTAGGGAGGGGGTACCTGCAGAGGCAGGCAGGGTGGTGTATAGCTGGCAATTGCTGGAAGTTAAGCAGAGCCAACCTACTCATGTTCTAGAAGAGTGCACTGAAATCTCCTTTGCATCAGCTGAAGCCACTCCATTCTTCCGTTTCTCAGCAGCATACACAAGAAACCAAATTTCTCTTCTAGGACTACATTCCATATCACAAGAATCCAGAGCTCCTTGTGTTTCCACTTTAGGACTTTGTCAATGGCCAAAGGATTTAACTGACTCCAAAATGGGGCCATTATGGGAATAAGTCAAAAGCAGGATTAGCTTAAATGCTAGCAAAGAGTCACTGAAGTCAGTTACTCAGCTAGTCGCCTTTTGTTTAATTTCTAAAAAGTCATGCTGTTTTGTGCATGCAAAAACAAAACAAAACCATGACTTAAAACATTGGTGCTAAGTACCCAGGAAAAGCCAGGGAGAATGTGTGCTGTGGAATCGCCAATGAAGGAATGGTGTAGTGGGCCAGGGCCTTGCACCCTTGGAGGATAGGACACACTACCTCCCCTGCCTCCCTGCTTAGGTGCCTAAAGGGAGCTTCTCAGCATGCAGGGTCTCTGCAATGGGAAGGGAATGTGTGATTCTCTACCACTTTACTGAGGTTCCCTGGCCCAGCAGACTGATCCTTGGGCCCAGAAGGCTACACCCAAGCTGGGAACTTCACTGATAGAAGGGAGGCCAAGCATTTAAGCTTTTAGTTTCCAACTGATCTTGGGGAAAGATGTCAATCAGGTTTGAGCCTGTCACAGCCCTCACCTGGCTGCCCAACATAAAGCACCATAAAGCTCATTCAGGGAAGATGGGAAGAGGGGGCCAAACAAAGGAAAGATGACCAAGAGGAGGAATTAATGAGGTAATTACAGAGGGAAGCTTGCCAAGCCAACTAAACAGAGAAAAAGATTCAAAAACTGAAAGGGAAGTGACTAGCGCCCAAACCAGAAAGTCATATGAGCCCCAAAGAGCAGAGGGTTATATCCAAAGATTGCCTGGTATTCAAGACTTAGTTACCATAAACTAGAAAACAGAAATTATGGAAGCCCAGCTGCTTAGGAGAGCTTGGCATGTGCTGGTGAAAGAATGGCAAGTCAGTGGGCACAGTCTGCTTTGAAGTGAAGATGGTCTCTCAGCCTTGGTGCAGAAGAAACGAGCAGTACCATCAGCTCACAAGGAGAAAAACATTTTCTCTGATCAAAACTTCCCTATTAACAAAGGCCCTACAAAGATCTTCCTTAAACTGCATCTCTTAGCAAAAATAAAGCCATGACCTAAGATTCCCTTGACATCAGCTAAGCCATGACAGGACCAAGGAGAGCTGTTGCCAGGCCAGGCCAACATCAGCAACAGGTTCCTTCTCAACTAAGCCCTTGCTGGTGAGGTGGCCTGACCCTCAGCAGCTGCCTATGCCTCTTCTTCCCAAACACCCTGCGCAGACCATGAAGATGCATCCAAGATGCAGCCTGGAGCACGCTCCTGTTCCCGGGGCCTCCAGAACACTTCTCCCTTCACCCTAGGAGAAAGAAAGTCCTGAAATTGCTCCAGGGTCACCAAAGGACACCAAAGAGGATTCTCACCTCTCAGTTTCCCCTTTTCCACCCAAGATAGAACTTCCATGAATGCTTAGGTCTGGCTCCCGCCAGTCCCTCTGGCCTTCTCTAACCTACAACCAAAAAAGGGCTGCCGGCAGAGTCCTGGCATTTTCTGGGCTGCGGACAGCCTGGGGGCAGGCGAGTCAGAGGACTCACTTCCAATCTTTGGCTCTGTGATGTGGAGGAGTTGAGAACTAGGATCCCTAGGCAAAAGGAGAGGCCCAGCAGAGTGAGCAGGTTGTGGGTCATTCTCCTTGGCCTGGAAACTGCATGTGAAGCAGACAACAGCTGTCTCACAGTTTTCCTAAGCAGAACTCAGGATCTGGGCCTCTGAATGGATATAATGAAGGAGTGACCACCAACAATCACTTCTAAGAAACAGGTTCTGACACCGAAGAAGAGCTATTAGCCCAAAGTAAGTGGCACAGAGTGCAGGCTCTGAAGTTAACACCTTCTCAAGCCTGCAAGTGAGATCTGAGCCTGAAGATGTAAGGGGTCCCTGCACAGCCACCCAGCCCCATCACGAATGCCACACTATCCAGAGCTTCCCAGCAGCCGCTTAAGTCAGCATCAGGAAAGGGGGCATGAAAAACAAATACCCTGAAAACCGTTAGAACCCGAATAGGCACCAATTGAGACCTGTGGCCTTTGGAAGCCTCATTACCCTGCCCAGGGCAGGCGCTGCTGTCTGAGCAGGTCAAACAAAGGCAAACAGTGACAGTCTTTGGCTGTGCTGGGCCAGGGATCACAGGCCTGCAGTATGTCAGAACCTCTCTCCCTTCTTTTACCCTCTTCTGGGCCCAGGAGGAGTTCATATATACATTGCTCCTGAGCCCTCCACACTGAAAGGTGAGAAAAGTCTGCTTTCCTCAGCAGAAAGAATTCATGAAGGAAGTTGGTCCTCCTGAGCCTGACTGGGCTTGGTCTGTGTCAACACAGCTGATTGTTCTGATAATAGGGAACACCCCCCTCTTTGCTGTTTATTAGTGAAATCTTCTCTGTAGTGGATGCACTATGGCTCCCAAATAAATGCTGTAAGATGCACATGGCAAAGAAGGGTACTACAGGCTCAACAGGACTTGTCTCATATCCACAATCTGAAGAGAATGAGCTGAAAGGTGGGGAGGAGTGGTCAACAGGATGGGGCACCAGCTGCCAGAGCGCTCAGCCTCCTTCCAGCTCTCACACCTGGGAGATGCTGTTGGCCAGGCGGAACGACACTCTTTTTGCTCTTTCATTCTCCTGAAAGCAGAAAAATATATTAGGAATCAGAATGACCAAAGGTAGGGTTTATTAATGTGAAAAGGCCAACTGTCCAGTCTGGGATTCCCCAGAGCCAAAGTGTTTTATTCCACCCCAGGAATCCAAGAGCAAAACTCACTGACGTCACTAAGCACTGTGTGCCAAGTGTTGTAAACAACCAGGGATGGCCAGTCAGAACCTGGCACACGGTGGGCAGGCAACACATTTCAGTGGACTTAAACAACACTGAATTGATGTTTCAGGTCTGCACAGCTGGCACCAGACAGCACAGGTCAGGGGAGATCTCCATCCTATAAGCAACCTCTCCTTTCTTCTCTGTACTAAGGGGCTGAAAAGACCCTTCCTTTCTCCCAAACCCAAGTTGAGATCAGGCACTGAGACCAGGTACTCATTTTCTTATGGACAGCACAGTATAGAACAACCAGCACTGAGCTAGGATTCAGGAGGCCTGGTTTCTCACTCTGGTTCTGCTGCTAATTTTCTGGGTGACCCTGGGCAGGTACATCTACCACTCTGAGTTTCAAGCCTCAGAAAGGTAACTGGACTTGATGAGGCCCTCACTGCCCCGCCTTCCTCTCAGACTAAAGGGTTGGAAGTTAGGGGTCACTGTCACCGCTCTCTGGTGCCACCTAAGCAGCTTCACTTTAGGATGCTCTGTACATGCGGTATGGGTGCCGCCGCCTGCCCACCCACCCGCCTGCCAGCTAGCAGCAACTCCTTACCAGATGTCGCCGCCGCCTCTTGGGTTGGATGCCCTCCTGCACATAGTGGGGCCATGGGAAGCCCTGGGGAGTGGAATACCCACTCTCACTAGACACCTCCTCGGAGTCTGAGTCCTCCTGCCTTGGCTGAGCAAACCGTTTCTCCGGGTAGATCTCCTTCAACCAGCCCTCAAAGAACACTTCCAGGCAGCGGCCTGCCTCTGCAACCTCTGAGTCAGGCTGAAGCGGAAGGAGAGCAGTGACAGGCTGGCCCGTTTCCCCCAGCCCACCTCTTCCAGGGCCCCCATGAGCTATATGGAGAGCACAAAGCCTGGCTAGGAACTTTACATTTTCTCCTTGGGACTCAGGATAACCAGTTGAGTATCAGCTCTTAAAGCAGAAGTGACCCTGGCAGTTTCCCACAGATAGCCAGTCCCCAGCATTCTCCATCTTCCTCCCGAGTCCATGCTGAGGCCCAAATGTGGGAGACAGCTTATAGATATTCACTACAGTAGGCCCCAGGAGGTCTGCTCCCGGGTCCTCATGGAAGCCCAGGCCCAAACCTGACACCCTTGTCCAGCATGACAGTCCTAGGTACTAGAAGTAGGAGAGAGGGAAAGCAGTAGACACGTACATAATTGAACTTAGCACAGTTCCAGAACATGAGGCGGACGTCTGACACCACCTCCTCCGGGGTGGTGTAGTGAGCTGGGTCCTTCTTTTGCAGCTTCCTCCGGATGATGGACAGGTCCATGGGCCTCTTGATAATCTGGTAATAATGCCGGGCCTTGAGGGAGGAAAGAAGGGGAAGCAAACAGGAAGAGAAAAGTGGAGGATAAGAAGGAAGGAGAGACAGAGGACAAGGTGGAAAAGAAGTGAAGAACACAAGAAAGAAAAAGACAGCAAGAAGAGAAGCATGGAGGGAAAAGACAAAGAGGAAGAGAAAAGAGAATGGTTCACGTGTCCAGTCAGGTCTGACACAGCAGCAGTGGCGGGGGCTGTGGTGGCCATGGTTCCTGGGGTCCCCTAGAACACGCACAAACTACTCATGCTTCCAGTGGCCATGCTTTGAGCCCACCCTGGGCACCACCATGATCTGCCCCAGGCCTGGGGCCTTTCGAGCAGAAAACAGAAGCCAGCAGAAACAGAGAAGCCTTCATTACCAGTGGGCTGACAGGTTCGTGGAAGGGCAGGCTGAGGCTGTTGCAGCACAAGGAGAGTACCAGCTTCTCACACTTCTGCAGAAATCAGAATGCGCAACAGTGTTACTTTGTTCCAGCCCCACCTCAATAAGAACTACAGATAGTAACCCTGATGGCTCTGTCCCACCAGGTATGAGCCACCATACTAACCACAGTTCAGCCTATCAGGTCAGAGGAAAACAGCTAGCAAAAGAAAAATCATAGTGAACCCCCATGGGCCAAACTGTCAGGTCTCTCATCCCTTCAGAAAAGCCTCAGTCCCCATGGGCACAGGGAGAATGCCCCAGTGCGGGATCTTGTTCCCAGAGACCCCTCCCTACCTTCTGATCATATATGCTCAGGCCAGGAGGGGCCCGCACCCCAGGCTGGTTATAACGGGCATTTTCGCAGTCGTACTCCATCTCAGGCTGGGTCAGGCTGCGGCACAAGGTACACACCCAATCTCCCCTGCAGAGGGAAGTGAGGCCAAGTTAAGACTCAGCACATTGCCCAGAGCCCCCTCCCTTGTCCCTCTGCCCCAAGACAGGCTTGAGGGGCAGTGGCATGAGAAATTGAGTCCCTAGACCTGCACTGAAGAGACTGAAAGAAATTTAGAACTCAGGATTTAGTGAGTCCAGAAAAATAGGAGTTAGCAAGGACCTGGGAGGGGAGGACAGGGACAAATCTGCACAGGAGGAAGCTGGGAACAGAGGAGGAAGGGAAGTATCCACCTGTCTGTGCACACAGCTATAGCGCCACTAACTCACAGACCTGTAATTCCTGAAGGCTCAGAGTGGGGAGAAAGATCACCCTGTTATCCAGGTCATGGCTTGAGGTTGTCATGACTCACCCTGGGAAGCTAAGCAAGGCTGGCAGGTGGCAGGAAAGGTGGTACACTTTGGGGCAGCGATCACAGCATAGCAACTCTCCCCCATTGAGACACACAGCACAGAAATCCTCATTCTCTATTGGTACCGGAGGCCCCTTCTTAGCTCCAGGGGTTCGAGGAATGAGCCTGTGTTCTTCAGAAGGTGAATTCTCTGCATCTGGGGGCCGCTGCTCAGCCAGAGATGTGACAGTGACCTTTCTTCCCCCCAGATTTGGGGCCTGGATGGCATCAGGCACGTTGTTCTGGCTGACCTGAGGGAAGAAGAGTGTCCGAGCAGTCAGAGCGCAGCACCAAGTTGTTGAGGGAGGGAGAGGAGGGATGACAAGCCATGCGCGCTGGCTTATTCCGGGACCACTAGCCAGCCAGGCCCCAGGAACACTGGGACACTCCTAGTGTGCATCTTACAGGCCCCATGCAGCAGGGGATAATGTCTAGCCAAGCTGCAGCCCCACTCAGAGACTCAGAACAAGGCCAGAGCCAAAATTCTGCCAGAAGCAGAGAGGAAAGAGAGGCTCCTAGGCTGGGCCAGGGTTCAAGGAGAAGGCAGAGAAAAGCAATACCTTAATGGACATGCTGGAGGATTCAGTACCACATTCAATGATCAGCAGGAAGCTCCCATCCTGATCATTCTTCTGTGGCTTCAGCTTGAACACAGGCATCTCTCCTGAGGAGGCAGCACAGATCTTGAGCCGTTCCAGTCGCACATAGGGAATCTTGGGCTCACTATTGAAGGGTCTACGGCAAGAACGACATCCCTGGGCGTCAGTGGGAGCCTCCTCTGGCCCCAAGCTCTCAGTCAGGCTTGTCCATGATCCCACAACTGAACTGTTGCTCAAGATGTCCTCCATCCAACCCTCTACAGGCCCCTATTCCATCCTGCTGCCCAGCTCTGTCTGGCCAGGCCCTATGAGGAGCCCTTTGATCAAAGAAGGAGGATCCCTGAAGAAGGAAGACTGCACACAGAGTGCATGCCTCTTGGCTCAGGAGCCAGGACATCTTCCCACAATCATTCCAGACACCCAACCACACAGACCCCATCCCAGGGTCTGAGGGGTAAAGAAGACAGCTGCAGGAAATCTTCTGCTTCTGGTTAAGTCATCAAGAATGCTCACTTCCTGTGCCAATCTCCCAGGACATGAAGTTGGGGGTGGGAGAGGGAGGCTGGGCCAGGAGTCTGTTACCTGATGCTCTGGTTCCCTTTTGTATCCAGCCCTAGGGCTCCTTGTTCAAAAGTCTCATACTCTAAGGCAAAAAATAAATAAATGCATAAATACATTTATGATAACACCCCTTGTCACCCTCCCACTCATCTGTGACTCACACTTTGGCCATACACCTATGCCACCATTGTTACCCACGCTGTGAACATTCATAGTAGTGACAATCCTATCATAGCGTCCCTTCCTGAGAGGGAAGAAGTCACCTTCTTTTTAAAAGATAAACACAGGTAACAGTCAGCTACCTAGGGGGTAAGTGTTGGGTCAGATGCTGAGGGGCCAGCTTCTCATCTCCAAAATGAGCTCAGAAATCACTTGTTCCCCATCCACTGGTGTTACCTGCTCTTAGGAGTCATTCTGTCCAGCCCCTGCATTTTCAGCCAAGTGCTGGGATCTCAGCACGGCCGGCGAATCCAGCTCACCCTCCATGGGCCAGAGGCTCCCAGGAGCCCTCCCCTGAGAAGTGCAGTCTGCATAGATGGGCAGGAGCCAGTGCAGGGAGGAGGACACTAGCGTTTACTGAGTGCCCACTCAGCACCAGACACTCTCCTGGGCACTTTCCAAGGGCAAGCAGGGTCCAAAAAATTTAGCTGCTTAAAATTCAGAGTTGCATTGTGGGGGTGAGTATAGCCCAGTGGTAGATAATGTGCTTAGCATGCATGAGGTCCTGGATTCAATCCCCAGTACCTCCATTAAGTAAGTAAATAAGTAAATAAATAAACCTAGTTACCTCCCCCACAAAAAAATTTTTTTAAATAAAAGAATTTTTTTAAACCCACAAAAAAAATTCAGGGTTACATCACTGTGCAGTTAAGAAGAACAAGTGTGAGGAGAAAAGGAGAAAAACTGTTTTGTTTTCATTTATTAAATATGTAGGAAATAGGCAGATCGTTATAAACCAAACGCGAATCCCACACTGAACTGTGAGAGCTCCCGGTGCTCAGCAGGCAGTTGCTATGTAACTTCCCAACTAGCCCTCCCCTTCCCCAGAAGGAAGGAACCATAGCCTAGCCCCACTTGAGACGGGGTTTGGGTAGCCGCGAAGAGAATCAGAGCCAATCTCCACCGTTCCAAATTTCCTTTACCATGAGGCACAAATCCACATTAAAGCCAGGCACAAGGCAAATTCTTGCTACCACAGAGGAAGTCAGCAAATGATATCACTGTAGCTATTTGTCCCAGTGGCCTGTGAATTAGCTATGATTAGCCCCATTTACAGAGAAAGAAACTAACTCAGAAAGGTTAGGTGTCCTGCCCAGGTTCAAACAAAGAGACAGAGCTGGTTTGCTAACTTAGATCTATCTGATTCCAAAGTCAGACAGGCTGTCTTCCCTAAAATATTTTGCCAAGGCTGGCCCTTCTGGGGTGAGCTCTTCCTATTTCCCCCATCCAGAACCCAGACCCCCAGAACTTTTGTATGTTATAAGGAGGCTAAGTCTTGGCCATGCCTGGATCAGCCCTGGCCACAGTGAAGGAAAGAGAACAGGCATCAGTAAGTCAGCCTGAAGGGAGAAGTGAACTTAGTCGAAGAGAGAAACACTGCCCCTCAGGCTCAGAAGCCACTCCACTGACCTTGTTCTCACCTGGCAGTGCCAAGCCCATCCGCTCCAGTGTGTGGCCAGCACAAAAGGCAGGCTGCTGGCTTAAGTCTCACCTTTTGGGCTCTGGTACTGCTGCAGGGCCACGGAAGTGTTGCCCACGGGGACCAGTGCAGGTTTTTTCACAGAGAGGTTAATGGGCTCCTCCAGCTCTGAGGGGATAGCTAAGTCCTTAGAAGCATCCAGACCAGGAGCTGTGGGGCCTTGTCCCAGAGAGTCAGTGAAGCGGGTAGAATCCTCATTTTCCATCTTTCAAAAGAGAAAGGCCAACAAGAACCAAAGAAATCAGACATTTTTGCTGTCGGCAGTCACAGAGCTGTTAAGCTAAGGCCCAGATAAGGCCTTCAGGGGCCACCTTTCTGCCCCATAATGAGCAGAGGAATTCGAATGGCATTTCCCCCAAGACCTACCTTGCACAGGGCATTCCCCAGGGAGGGGTCAGCCCCATCCCCAGGGCACAGGCTCACTGCAGCTCGGCCAGAGCCAGGACTGCAGCTGGATCCAGTTTCCGGCTGCACGTCAGAAGCCGGAGGCAAGCTCTGCAGAGGACAGCCTGGCACAGCCTGGGTGGGACCAGACACCAGGCTGGGCCTGGCCTGAGAGTGATCACTTGCCAGGCTTGTGATGGCCTGGGAGGGATCACTTATCAGGCTGGGCATGGATTGGGGTGTGCCACGCACAAGGCTGGGCATGGTCGGCAGGTGACTGGCTGTGAGGCTGGACATTGCCTGATTGTGACTTGTCAGACTGGACACAGTTGGTGGGGGGCCACTCAGCAGGCTTGGTACCACCTGTGGGGTGCCAGCTGTCAGGCTGCTCATGCTCTGAATCTGTGGCTCTAGGGTTCTTGCCAGCCTGGTAGAAGACAGCTCCATCTCCACAGTGTTGGAAAAGCCCATGATGCTCACAGAAGTGGAGTGCTGCAGGAGCAGAGACAAGGGCCAGTCAGGCTGTTAGCTGGGAATGGTGGAGGGGAGAGGAGAGATGCAGCCCACGAGTCCCATGCTCAGATTTCACTCCGGCCTCAGAGTCTAGTAGCTGTAGGGAACTCAGCACGAGAAGTCCTGTTCCCATTCCCCTATGCCAAGGAGGTTAGTGGGCTGCGCCACAGAGAGGCAGGCATAGGCTGAGGACACTTGTGTGCATTCTTGTGTGCACATGTGTGTGCATGTATGTGCGTGCATGAGACACAGAGACAGAGACAGACTGACAGAGAGTGAGAGAGTGAGAGAGATAGCCTGAGGGTGATACACGCTCACAGACACACACACACACACACACACACACACACACAATCAGCTACATCCCTCATCACCCTACCAGTGGGGTCAGACTGCAGGACCACCCTCAACTTCACATTCCCCTCTGACTAACCCACTAGTGGCCTATCTTTCCTTCTGGAGGTCCTACAGAATAGTTTCTGCTACATACAAATGAGAGGAAGTTCAAACGCTCAAACCCTGATCTGCCTCAGACATTCTTTGAGATAATGCCAAAGCTTAGGGAGCTCCAATCAGTCCTGGGGAAGCTGAGTCAACTCCAGGGCCTTCTCACAGGCTTGTTCAGATCAACTCCAGCACCACCAGAATTAGACTGAATGAAGGCTTTGACCAAGAGATGTGAAGGTCTTTTCTAGCCCTACTATATGCATTCTAAACTGGAGGCAGAGAACATCAGAGTAGCTAAATCTTAATATGACCCACTCTGGACAATCATTGAATGAGGCAATAATGTTCCAACCCCCGTAATTCGTTTCTCAGTTCTAACTGCTTGGTGACCTAGGGAAAAGAGATTTAAAAGCTTGATAAGAAATTAAAGACATATAGATTATTGCACTGAATCCACTGCAGTTTTTCAGATTGGAGAAAGATTTAATGGAGGAGAGGAGTAAGGAGACTGGCTCTAAACCTTCAGGAATTTATAAGTTTGATATCCCTGCCTTTTTTTTTAAAAGGCTATAGGTATAACAATTTGGCATCTTTCAAAATCCAAAAGGGAAACAAGGAGTAAATATCTCTAAGCTCCTAAAATCATCTTAAACCTGTCATTCTTTTCCCCATGAATACGACATTCAACTTTCCACTGGAAAGTAAATACTTCAAATATATCCTCAAGTTTCAATATAAAATTAGTAAAGCTATTTAACAATGAAGAAAAGACTGTCCCATCTCAGTGATGTCACCTTAGTCATCCAGTTCTTCAAGTCAGATCCCAGGAGGGGGGCATCAGGCCAACCCTCCTCCTTCACCCAAGCTAACACCAAACCTCATCAATTCTACCCCTTAAACACCTCGCAAATACTCCCACTATTCCTCTCTCTGCTGCTGCCCCAGCCTGGGTTATACTTTCATATTTTCCCAAACTACAGTAGTAGCCTCCTCAGTGGAGAAATATTTTCAAAACACAAATCTGACCACATCATTCCTCTGCATAAAACCCTCGTGTGCTCCACTGTTCTTAGGATGACTGTGAAAATGCTTAACAAGGCTCCCAAGGCCTTGATAACCTGTCCCCCATCCTGCTTTGCAGCCCTAGTTCATACAATGGCCCTCCTCATGCTCTGAGCTCCAGACACTCAGACATTTTCTCAGTTCTGAAAACATGCCAAGCTCTCCCTCTACCCACAACCTTTAGACAGACTGCTTCCTCTGCATGGGACATTCTCCTAGCCCAGCCCCTGTTCTACTTACCTTCTGAACTCAGCTCACCTGTGAATTTTTGCTCCAGCCCAGACCAGTTCCCTCTTCTACGCTCTCTTAACTCCTGTGCTTTATTCTCACAGCACAATCTGTGACACCATTTGGTTAATGCCTGTTTCCCCTGCTAAACCATAAACTCCATTAGGGTATGGATTTTGTCTACTTTGCTTACCCACTCTATCCCTAGCCCCAAGAGCAGTGCCTGGCTGAATAAACGAACTAATGAGCTATTTACAATTTTTTTAAAAACCAGTAATGCATGACTGTTTACTCTATAAATCGTAAGCCAAATGAATAGCAGCTTAGCTCTACTAACAGCTAAGACTAGGAGTCTCTCCAAAATAATGACTATTTTTCTGTAGCTAAAATTTATTGAGAATTTACTATATGCGAGGCAACTTGCTAGGCGTTTTACGTACATTTCCTCATTTACTCCTCACAACAAACATTAAAGAGTTGTGCAGTTTAAAAGAAATAATCCATGTGAACGTTTAGGGCAACGTGTGGCAGGGGCTACTCAACAAGCCCCAGTGCTGCCACTGCTGCTGTTACTGTTACTGTTACTGTTATTATTGTGTGGCCCTAATTTTACACTTGAGAAAAATGAAGCTCAGAAAAGCAACTGAAGTTTTTTATGTTATTGAACACCTCATTTGACACATTTCCATTTCTCTTTATTTGTGTTCATATATACAAACACAACTGATTTTTGTATTGACCTTGTACCTAGAGACCTTACTGAAGTCACTTTGAGATTTCCTGTGCATACAAATCATGTCGTCATCATGTCGTCTATGACTAGTGACTTTTATATATTCCCCTCCTTACATTTGTTCTTCTTGCCTTACTCCACTAGCTAAGACCTCCAGGGTGAGGTTGAACGGCAGTAGTGACAGCAGCCATCCTACTTTGATCTCAGGGGGATCCTTTCACTATTCACTACTAAGTATGACTGATATTTGAGGTAGCATTTTTGTAGGTTTAGAACCCAGATCTTCAAAGAACTCTTCTTTCTGGCCTGTCTGCCTCTGCCCGTCTCCCGTATCCTGTCCTTCCATCTCTTCGTCCTTCCCTCTTCTGCTCTTTGTCTCTCTCAACCTCCTTTTCTCTCTTCTTCTGTTTTTCTTTCTTCTCATCTCTCCTTCTTCTCTCCCAAACCTTTCCCCTTATTATTTGTTTAACTGCATCAGCAAAGTATATATTTTCTATTCTTAATTTTCAGTTTTTAAAGCAGATGAGCTAAATACCCACTATTTCACCAAAGTCTGCTTTTTATATGCTTCTTGGTAGTTCAATAGTCTTCAATAAAAAGGCTTCAGTTTGCTGTCTAGTCTAAGTCCCAAGCTAATAAAGGTTGAAGAGAAGGAGAGATGGGGGAATGCTCAAACCAAACAGGATAAACCAGACATAAGGGACTGAGGCCAGAGACCAAGGGTATCTCAAACATGCCCTGGCCTGCATCCCTTGGTGTCCCCTTGCTGTCCTGGTTACACACTAACAAAGTCCTCTAATACTCTTTATTTCCTAATCTATGGGTAAGAATATCCAACAATCATCATATTCCCTTTTGTAATATGTGACAGCCCAATCTTTTGAACTGGACTCTTCCACCTTTTCCCTACTTGACGTGTGTATTTAATGCAGTCTGGTGATCATCTTATCTACCCATGACACAACTGATTCTCAGTGAGATCTTTGATGCCAAGCATTAAGAGCACCAGAATCCATCTAGGACCATTCCAAGCAATAATGATCAGGTGCCATATGTCACAAGCTATGCACAAGATTAAATCCCCAAAGGGAAAACTTGGCAGATTAGGGGTAGAGATCACATCTGCAGGGAGTTACCAACTCCCCTCCCAGATTACTCATTGTATATCATGAACCGTGAGTTAACGTAAATGATAGAGGGGAGGCAGAGCATGTAGATTGAGCCACGGAAGAATAGTGAAAACCCTGTTGCAGTTTATCTCGAGCTGGATCTGCTGGCCCTGCTCCCATAACATCTAGCAGGCAGTATGAGGTCAGTAACATGTCCTAAGATACTGAGGACTACACTGGTCTCTTTCATGTCCATACCTACAGCCAATCTCAAGGCAGCCAAGGTTATCAGGAGATGGGGTGAAGCACTGTTAACAGTAACAAGAACCTGGGAAATCTCTATAAGGAAATTCTGAGAAGTGACTCAGAAAGTGCTATGAGGAAGCCAGCCTCGACCCCATTTCTATAGACTCTACAAACACGGGGCATTTCTGAAACCTATTATGCTGTGTGTTAGTTATTTTTGATACTTCATCTGACTCTCTGGAGTGAAGAGCTACAAAATATTAAAATGAAAGGTCCTTATTTCATGTATAGAAAGAATGAGGGGAGTTGAGACCCTCCATTGCACCCTGCTGCCAGCGCTACAAGGCAAGTAGGGACAAAGGGAGGGCCAACTTCCTGGGCCAAGAAAGCAGGCTGAGTCTCCAAAGCCTGGAAGGTAGGAAGGAAAGGGCTTCTTGAGAGAAAGCTAAGGTTGGAGAAGAACCTGGAATGGGGCCCAGTTCTGACATTCCGTGCCTCATACACAGGAGGAGCTCATATGTCAATGGAGATGATGCCACCTGCCTTCTCTAGCAGCAAGGATTGTTAAGAAGTCAAATGAGAGGAGGTGAAAGTGTCTGGCCGGCTGGAGCATCTGTACAAGGCAATCACTGACACCTCCAAGCTTAACTGACACCTTGACTTGGTCTTCACATAACACCTTCACACTTCATGAGGGAAAAAGTATACATTTTGAGGTTTGCAAGTGAAAATAAACTATTTTCTAGTTCAGGGAGGAAGAGAAGTCAAAATCGTGAAAAACATTTACTCTCATAGCTCAGGTCATCTCTGAGGACTGAAGGGAGCCGCCTCTTACTCCATGACCTAGCATCTGCTCACCTGCCCCTAATTTTCTCTCCTCTCAAACTGTATGTCCCTGTCCTTTGTTTTCTTTGTCCTTCACCACTTTATCTGTCTCTTTAATTCTGTTTGCCACCTGCCTTACCTGTGACCTGTCTGAATTGTATGACTTTCAACCTCTTCTACTAGTCACCTGTATAACCCTTCACCCATCTAATCCTATTGATCTGTGCTCTGCTCCCTGCTGCCTTCCCTCTCCCCATTCTTTCCACCTTGATCTTTTTCTGGAGTTCAATGTGCCAACATTACCATTCTAATGATCGCCACAAGGTGTT